TACTTAGCGTGGGGCGAGTACAACTAGGCTTTAGACGTCTTTCAAATATTACAGGGGGGGGGGGCAATAAAAAAATATTTTGTCTCCAGACTCAAATGGATTTAATCACACTTTGCTCAGCTCAAAGCGTGTGCTCCCAACTTAGAATTGAAGAGCGCATTTCATTCCATAAGAAATCTTCATAGTGGCCATCTACGTGGACGGCATCAGGAAAATTTGCCCCGGAAACATGGTGCTCTGGTCGAGCTTACACTTCAGTGGGGTTCTCGACTGATCGTGTACCGTTACGACGGGTTCCGAAGGGCGGGTTCCGAGGGGGTTTGCATAGTTAGAGCTAATGTCCCTAGGAAACTATCCCACGTTGAATCGATCCAAGAAATTATGTAAGAGCTTCAGGCTGAAGCAGTTACTGTAGGCCTCCCTGAGCTCGACGACGGTGACAGATGACGTCATATTCTGAAGACGGTGAGGGTAGTGAAGGAGGGCCTGCGTGTACTTATAGAGGGACATTTAGGGAATATTTTGCTGAGGAACTTCCGTCAACGACGGCAATCTCTGCGAAGAAAAAAAAGGCGACCTGGCAAAATGTCTTTTTTTTTCTTTCTCTGTATAATACACTGGTGTGCAAAACTTAAGGACCGAAGTAACTTTCACATGATATCTCACTGCTAGTTAACCTAGGTGGACCAAATTTGGCACATATATAGAAGTAAATGTTGCGGTACAGTGCAGAGAGTTACTAACAGAAAAGCGCAAAGGGGCGATTGGAAAAGACATTTTTCTGCAAATACCCTGTCTGAAGCGGTCGATAGGTGAGGCTTCTCCAACTCATGGTAGACACTCAAAAGAGAGGAGCTAGTTCTTGATGGGGTGTATGAACACTACGGACTGCAAGGTATGCTCTGCTACGTGTTCCCATACAGGCCGTAAGATTAGTTAAGAGTTCTTGAGGAGAAGTGACCGATTCCTTGGAGACCGCGATTGACAACTGCAGGACTATTGTTGGCACATGGTCATGTGCTACAATAGCTCATCTGAATCCACGCCACACGTGCTCCATAGAATTAGACTGGAGGAAATAAATGGCTTCACCAATTACCGAAAATCCTCACTTTTCAAGAGTTTTCCACCCAGGCTGCTCGATACTCTCGCACACTGCCCTCCATACGATTGAAGCTGAGGGCAAGGGAACCCTTGGAAAGATGCACATGACAGAAGGGTACAACACCACAATCACGTTGATCAGAAAGTGTAACGCGATCATGAGTTGGGGATCAGTACGCCCCGACAACTTTATGCCTCCCCACATCATGTCGCATGCACTACCAAAACAATCATGTTAAACGATGGTCCTGGGTAGATTACACGTTCCTATTTTCCCCATATGCAGGTAAGTCCAGAATCACTACTCACATTCAGTTTGCTCTTGACCGGGAAGAATACGCGATTTTTCAATTCGGTGGTCCATCTCCAATGTCTCGGCTCGTACCAAATGTCCCAGCCGAGGCGTGGATTTCAAATGAATACAGGTATTGTTGATCGATGAGAGAGATCACTCCTAGGCGGTCACTGCGCCACTGTCCGGACTGGGATTACATGCCTTACAATCCTGATAAATGTTTTTGCAACTGCAGCATGTGACTGACGTGGGTCCATTTTTGCCTGTAGCAAAACCTAGCAATCACCTGCTGCTGCGGTTGTTCGTGACCCACAACCTCCTCTTCTTGGGACAGCAGTGGCTGCGGTCCACATTGCTTCTCATGCACAAAAAACAATGCTGTGGTTGACACAAAACTCCTGGACACAACTTCCTTTTTTCAGTTTCCCAATGATTCTTCCTCGCGTAAAGTCACCCTAGTGTTGTCTCTGAGACTTGATGTAATCAAGAACACCACTACATTCCACAGTCACTTCTCCCTGCTTAGTTTACCCCTCTTGTCCTGCCCCACGATACCCATCGTTCTGGGTGGCCACCCCATTTAGGCTCCAGATTGAAGCCGGATGCAAGACATATGAGGCCCACTTCGGTGCCCATGACTGTAGGGCTTCTAGCATTATGCCCGTACAGTTTCATCCAATTCCATCTAATTGTTAATAAGTTAGGACAATTTATCTATCTGGTCCTTAAGTTTTGCACACCAGTGTAGATATGTTCCAACAAGTAAGCTTACGTGTAATGGCCACATATCTCTGGATCGCGCCACATACATCGCTGGCATGACAGCGTCCCGCTCACGAATATCTCGTCGTCGTGGGTCAATTTTATTCGACGTGGTATGCAAAAGGCAGTCATAATTGTGGAAGTTGAACTTGGCAATGAGTTTCTGTAAGAGCAGTATGAAATTTGAACAGACTGAAGTGCTGCTCAGACAAACCGTTGCAGAAACTCGACCACCACGGCGACTGTTATCATTTTTTCAATGGTGGAGACCACAGTGCGATACCCATCACATTCGGCACCACCACAATCATCACCCCGGACACACCGGATTTTGCCGGTAAGCCGACCTGAAAGCTCTGGGAAAATGTGCTGGAATTGTGTCTTTTAATGCTGCAGGGAGTCAACACGGTGAACTATGAAGTAGAAAGGCACAGAAAATATAAACTGACACGTGCGGTGCACGCGCTATCGACGTACCGAAAACGAAAATTGTCCTGAAGCGTCGTACATGCCACAACTGTACATCAGTGACAACACATCTCGGCAGGGATTTGAGTCAATGCATTTCTCATTTGTGATGGGGCATACACCTGAATACAGACATTTCAACATCACCTCTGCTTTCGGCAATTGTATTGATAGGAATGAGCTGTTGATAACGTGTGTGTCAGGAGGAACCTGCGAGTGAATTTGATATTATAGCACGCACCGCTTTCATATTTCCTCTATTTAGCACTGTTGAGCATCTACACCGTTTTTTGATGGTATACCGGGTGTCCCGTCTGAGCGCGTTTTGAGTCTGTAGACAACCTAAAATCCGGATCGGGATACTTGACGTTGGCGAGCATTCAGCGGAGCGCCGCGTCGCGGGTGACTTCACTGTTACACATCCATGCGAATTCATTATGGCATATTCGCATATTAAATCCAATAGCTGCCCTTTTTTTCGTGGACTAAGGCAATGTCTCATGATCAGCCGAGGTAATGAGCCGAATATTCATCCTCTGAATCTTTCGTAATCGTGTTGAAAGGAATATCATCGCGTTGATCCTACATGATTCAGGTCCAACCCCAAAGGTCAAGTTAGCCCTTCTGAAATAAGATGGTTCCTTCTTTCACTAAGACTTTTCGGAGGAACAGGTGTGAAAAGGAAAAGGACAGGTGGCTCCAGACTTCGCACATCAACGATGGTGATTTGAAGAAGAACAAAGAAATTTCTAACGCACAACAGAATCTCGGGGGAGGGGTCGTGCAAGGGCAGCGGTCACCGAAGGCTTGTCATTCACTTCTCTAGGCCTCTCGCAGATGCACACTACTTCAGCGTCTCTGCTTTCTTTCCTTCCTTCAAAAGGCTCAGTCCTAAAAGAGCAGAAAGTAGGTGCTTTTCTGTCTGGACTCTCACGCGTTGGTTGACCGCTGCCCCGTAACGGGGGTGGGCGGGGGTGGTGGAGGGACGGATTACGATATTCTTTGTTGTTAAAAATTACTGTTAAAAAGGATACCAGAAATGGCTGTAACAAACCTCCATTGGCCAACGTAGCCGCCATCACACTCAGCGACTCACAGTTGCCCTCTATCGAGCAGAGTTGGAAATAGAAGTCGATCGCGTCCGTGAGTGACGTTGTCTTAATCGATATCATACCACCTCAATAAACGATCAATACCTACATGGGTACTGTATCGTTTTGTCAAATAGTATTTCAGCATATCCTCTAGGTCCCAGCTAGCTCCAGCTTTAAAATTAGTTGTAATCAACGTTGGCCTATTTCAACTAGTAACTTACTTAAAGGCAGTGGGCATGATCATGATTGATGTTGATCAATTATGAAATTAGAGGTACGAAGCGGTGCGGTCGTAAGGGACAAAGCGACCAAAACCCACAAAGTGGTGCAGTGGCTCTTTTCGCTGATTGGACGAGTTGATGTCATAACATTCATTTCTGTGAAGATACGCTAACAAAGATTCGTCACGACATAATTGCAACGTGCAATTGGTCGGTACGAAATGCATTCTCAAAAAAAGGAATCGAACGATAATCATAACGATATCGCAAACTTCAGTGTTCAACTTGGAAGTCGTCGATTATCTAAAACAGAACTAAGGCATAGCATAAATGCCTTACGTGACGTTTTTCTCGCTCCTACCGTTACACCTCGCTTCCTTTACGGCGTGGCTACCATTCCTCTGGGACATGTACTTAACCTCCACTTCAAAAAGCGAGAAAGTGTCGGTTGCAGCCAAACACCACAACTGACGACGGCCTCCAAGTAATCTGGTTAGAAGTTGTTCATAGTGATAGCTGATTTCTGGTAAATGATAGTTGTAATTAGTGACAATCGATAGAATACAACTGCAACAGGCTAATCATTTCATTGGCAGAAAACATTAACATTTTGTGAAGGCCGTCGTCACTTGTGGTGCATGGTCTGCACCCGACACTTTCTCGCTTTTTGAAGGAGAGGGTACATAG